GGTGGGGAGACATTGGTACAAGGATATAAACTTTCAAGTATAAGATGAATAAGGTCTGAGGATCTAATGTGAAACATGGTGACTATCACTGGTGACACTGTGTTGCATAACTGAACTTTGCTAAGCGAGAACTTAACATTCTTACCCTCCCTTAGAAAAAGTTAACTACATGAGGTGATAGATGTGATAATTAACTGAGGGGGGATCCTTTCACAATGTATATGAATATTAAACCACCACAAGGTATTCTTTAAATATCTTACAGGTTATATGTCAACGATACTTCCATAAAGTTGCAACTTAAAAAAATGCTACTCTAAAAACACTATCATTCTTTTCTGTCTTGGCTCACATGGCTCTGGAATGTCCCTCTGCTAAGCCCCCACACTTGTTAATTAGTTCCTAATTAATTCTTATAGATGCATATTAGATCCCCTCAATTCCAAGAGGCCTTCTCTGATTCACAAGGCTGGGTGAAATGTATCTTCATGGTGCTCCCATAAGACTCTAAGTATTTCTCATTTATAACTTGTCTCCTTATTCAAAGTTTAAGAGGTAGTTTTATTTTTGGCCTCTCTCAAGTATCTGGCATAGAACCATATCAGAGGGCTTGAAAAAATTTTACTTTGACAAATGAATGAGTACATTCCATCTGTGAAGATATAGAGGAAAACAAGAAATGTTAAATTTGTACTTGAGAGGCAAAAGGGAAAAAACTTATTTCTAGTAATGTATATTTGGTATATTCATAGAAAATAGGGTCATATTTTGAACATGTTCCTTAATATAGAGAACAAAAAAATTACCTCCAAGGAGTCTCCTTTTTATGTGGAAATGAATAGTGTGCTGACTGAAAGGAAAATGAGGCAGAATAATTTTTCAGGTTGCCCTTGAATCACACTTTTGCTCAGTTATTGAAGGGCATTGCCTTGATTTTAGAATTTCTGGGTCATGGAAATGGTAATTACAAACCTGAAATGTTGATAATGAAAAGATAAGGGAAATTTGGTTTCTGAGTTAAATATGCTGGGAACATACACTTTAAATAGAATAAGAAAACAAAAAATCTTACTCACTCAGGAAAGGATTCTACATATTTATCAAGCAGAAAACACTTTTCTGAAATGTTTGCATCTGTACTATGTTGACACCTGGTCTTCACCTTAATCCAAAGAGCTCAGTGACTCAGTCATCATCAGCAAAACCACCTGTGCTACAATAATCCTCACTTTTACCTTCCCTTTCACCTGAGCCTTGGTCAGATGGATCACTTGATATTGACCTTGTATTTGGTGAGTGGACAATTTGATGTTCAGGGAGTTATCTTTTATGATTTTACAGGATACCTATTGTTTTGCCAGCCTGTCAAACCATTCACCCCTTTCCTGGTAACATCACCCTGATTTTTCTTAAGACATCACCTACTCCATATGGTTGGCTGGGGCTGACCCCATCCCTTGGTCCAAAGATGGACAGGTAAAGCAGCCTTGGCTAACCAGAATACTGAGTCTCCCTGCCCATAGTGATTGGTTCAGAAGTGAGCATGCTAGTCAAGCCCAGCCAATCACAGCAATTCCAGTACTTCAGTTGAGAGTTGGAAAGAGATGTGCTCTTTTCTTAAGATTTGCTAAGAAGATAGGTGTATACCTGGAGCTGCTGGCTGCCTGTCCGTCATTTTACCATCAAGAAGGGACAGCTGCCTGAAAGCTAAGTGAGTGGAGAGAAAAGCAGACCTGAGAGACACCCCAGGATCAACGAGGGTGTTCCTGTGAACACTGCCTTCCAATGCCAGTATTCCTGCAGGGATCTTCCCTGGATTGCGAGGCTGCCCTTCAACGGTCCTTGGTCACACAGAAATTTGAGATCATGTGAGATTTCACGTAATGGTTTCCTTGATCACTTGGTCCTAGTGGAGTTCATTAAATGCCTCATGAAAACCTGCCTTGATAGGCTCTGGCCTTGCTCGTGGCTGTCCCTGTCCTGCTAGCGAGCGGGCCATCTTAATTAGGAGAGTCTCTCTGACAACTGGTAACTTCTCTCTGCATTCATAAACACTGTAGCTCCTGATTTTTTCTCAAGTACTTGTTTTCTGTCCCAGATTTCCAGGATTAGAGTTTAATTTGAAAAATAGCTTAGCTTTGTTTAATCTTTCTGTACCTCAGTTTGATATTCTCAATTAAGAGACCTGTACTAGTTATAATAATAATGCTTTATAGTTATATCTGGAGTGTTTTTATGTTTATATAATCTTGTTTAATTTCCCCAATAATCTTTTTGGGGTAGATATTTTCTTCAAGGTCTTATAAAGCCCTACTTCTACATTTTGATATTTAGAAATAGGAAAAATACATATTTTAATTCTTGTTAAAGAATGTGAGCACTTAATAGAATTATAAAATTATGATGATTAGGATGAATATGTGGATCAAGATAAAAAATCTTGAGATAAAAAAAAATTTACACAATGGAATACTGCACAGCAAGAAGAAGGAGCTCCTACCCTTCGCGACAGCACAGATGGAACTGGAGAGCATTACGCTAAGTGAAATAAGCCAGTCAGTGAAAGACAAATACCATATGATCTCACCTATAAGTGGAACCTAATCAACAAAACAAACAAGCTTTCAAAATAGAACCAGAGACTTGAAAACAACTGACAGTGACCAGAGGTGAGGCGGAAGGGGAAAGAAAGGGAAGGGGCATCAAGGAATATGTATAGAGGACCCATGGACAAAGGCAAAGGGTGGGTAGGGTCGAGTGTGGGAGGTGGGTGGGGTGGGTGGGGTGGAGGAAAATGGTGGTGGGAAAATAGAGACAACTGTACTTGAAGAACAGTAAAAAAGAGAGAGAGGAAAAAATCATTTTAACCATCACACCAAAACAACTCCGTGGACACCAGACTGGGAGCACAAGTAGCACTTGGAGACTAGAGTCGTCACACTAATTCCCTGACCCCATCAAGAGGGGCTGGTCTCTCTTTATTTACAAGTTAGATCTTCAACTACTTCGCATTAATCCATGATGGGAGTCGAGGAGAAGGTTAAAACACATTTAATTATCTAAAACCAAACTGACAGAAAAGCATCTATTAATTTTCTAAATTGCAAAAGTTGCCAGATACCCATGAAACTGCCACTGCAGAATGCATTAAAAAATGCTGAGTAGCGCAGACAACAGGAAATGACTATTGATGGGGACTGAGCCACAGGCTAGGGTGGGTGTGTGCTCCCTGGCTGGAAGGAGCCAGCGACGGGAGGCCCAGGTTCAAAAGTCCCTCTGCAGCTCCTGCAAATCTACTTTGTCACCCTTTTCTTTGGGTCTTAAAGGGCTTTCAGCCTCAGAGGCTCCTCTGGAGGATGAGCACTACAAATCACTATTGATGAGGATTAGGAGACATTGGGCTAAGAATAAAGCCATATGGAAATAGGATTGAAGCTAGATATCCTGATAGCAGTGTTAAAAACAAGACAATAAGCCCCATATGAAGACCCTTTGCTAGGCCCCACATCACCACAAGTACAGTTTCGGCTCACCCAGAAGTGCCATCTTAAGCCAGTCCATGAGGAACCAGCTGATCGGCCCCAGTGAGGGATCTGCCTGACAGGCCCCGGCCTTCCCTGAGGAAAGGAACCTTGCAGTGACCAGCCTGCCCCTCAGCCTGGCATCGTTCCCTTGTCCCTGCAGCCTTCTGCCTGGGAAAGGCTTTCATTTTGCACAGCTCGTCAGAGCTCCTGTCTGTCTGCTAGATTGAATGCTACCGGAGTCATGAATCATTGAGTAAAGCCAACTGGGTCTTGAAAATGCACTCGATTCTTTTTTTTTTTTTTTTTTTTTACAGTAGGGGAAAGAAAAGGGATGAAAACTGGGGGCAGAGGAGGGGAAAGAAGGGTCACACGTGGCAATTAAGAATTGCCACAGAATTACAAACTTGCTTCCAAAATTTGCTAGAACTGGCTGCAGGGAACAATAAGACACAGTTTTTTCAAAAGTTGTAAGAAAAATTCCACAAGTTTTTTCTTTTTCTGTAATTTCTGGGTGGTTTCTTCTTACTTTTCTAAATTTGTCCATATTCTTTTTAAGTTACTTGGAAACTGTGGCATCTGCCTTCAGCAAATATACTTCAACTTCCCCCATATTCACACATTTCTCCAAAGTCAAATACATTATCAGATTTAATAAAATTATTCAAGAACTGTGCATGTTTACTTCAGGCCTCAGCTCATTTATTTAAAGCTTGTTGTGCATAGGGACAGATTGTTATATTAAAACCATGGAACAGAGATTGACTTGTACACTAAACATAGCTGGACTGAATTATAATCTTAGGGAAAACTTTTGGTAAAACTCATCTCATTCCTAAGATTTGCTAGTCTCCAAGTAGTGTAATACCATGACTGCACATGGTACATGCTCAATAAATACTTGTTAAAAAATACATTTAACCCTGGCCTGGTAGCTCATGTAGTTAGAGCAGCATCCCAATATGCCAAAGTTGTGGGTTTGATCTCTGGTCAGGGCACATACTAGAATCAACCAGTGAATGCATAAATAAGTGGGACAATAAATCAATGTTTCTCTCTCTCTCTCTTCCCCTTTCTCTCTCTCTCTCAAATCAATAAATTAAAAAATACACTCAATTAAATGTATTAAATAATAAATGACTACATAATGAAATAATTAAACTACTCTTCAAATTGCAAGGAAAAAAGAGAATAGTTTCATAACTATTAGGAAAGTTTGCTGTGGTATCAAAGCAATATAAAATGCAAATTACCCCAGAACAAATATGCTCACATGCACACTCCCTACGCATATACAATATTTCAACCAGAAACTACATCTCTTTACTCTCTAACTCCCTTGAGTATATTAATTATATCTGAAATTTATAAGATATTAATAATTAAAAGTTGTAATGAAAGTAACTTCAAGAATAGGGCAAAAAAAGATCAGACTTATTTATTTTCTAAATGTTGATGATTTTATAAAAATGCACTTACCCCATTTCGACTGTTGACCCCAAGAATGAAGGAATACAGTAGTCAGCAGCTGCCAGCGTATACGGTGGCCGAGCGGCAGAATCGTCCCAGTAGATGTCCTTCTTCATCTTGGGTAAGCTCATGTGCATTTCATCCACAGCTAAAAGAGAGACCTAAAATCATTGTTGCAGTGTTAGAATGATTCAGATGTGAATTGCACAAAGAGAGTAAGTTCCACAGGGTGGATGGGGTTTGGAGGGGGCAGGAGCACAGCCTGTTGAGTGAATATACAAATGTCTCTAGTTCTTATTCCCTGCAACCAGGGCTGCTGCAGAGTTGCACGTCGTTTACTGCAAGAGAGCATTTGACATTGGGGGTAAGGGGGTTGTGAAACTGCCCAGACGGGGTTCATTGAGCCACATGCCTCAGAGTGGAGCTGCTTCTTACATGGATGCATGCATGAGAAGCAGCTTTTTCTTCTTTGCTCAAAGCTACCATATTATCTATTGGCTATCCTGACAACGGATACCTCAAATCCCAGGTATCACAGGAATCTGAAGATTCTCAATTCCCATTCTGTTGATTCCATAAACACATTTACACTTGATATCATTTCTGATGTGCCTTGAGCTTTTGTTGGTTTGGAAAAGTTTATCAACACCCTGTACTGCTTGGGGCTATCTCTTGACTTTGACAAACTGCTGCATGAGTAAATGATGAATCCTCTGGGAATCCGATATTTTCAGTGAGCGGTTTAGGCATTATGCCTTCTCCCTAGCAGACTGACAGTGTGATTATTGAGGGCGGTGATGGAGAGGATGGACCACCAGCTGAGCCTGGAGCTGGACCTGGGCGGCTGGAGGCTCCTCACCCCACTGCCCTGTCCTTAGAGTGTGTGTTCTGCTCACAGTGGGAGCCGTTTTCAAGGATGCAGGCTTGAGAGAGCAATGTGTTCTTGAGGCCGTCAGGATGACAGACGTGACTGAACCCAGCAGTTAAGGCCTCTGTATAAACTTTGAGCCTCTGTGAGGTGGGCTCAGAGATCTACTCCATCTTGTGGTTGCCAGAGACAAGCCTTGTAGGTAAGTCCCCTTGCTTATTAAACCTGCCACCTACCAAGCCGGAGTGGCCTGCCTTTTCTTTCAGTCTCTCTCTGTCCCCACTGCCCCCCGCACCATGTACAGGGGCCAGTTTGCGAACCAACAGTGACCGACTGTGAGGTGTTTGAACCTGTTCAAGAGCTGAGTAAAGGCTTGAAACAAATAGAGAAGCTGAAGGCCTTTTCACAGTCTGTGGTTCTCAGGGTAGAGAATGATGAGGAGAGTCTTGCCTAAAAGGAAAGTCATCTTATGCTGGTTCATCCTGGAATAATGCCTCAGGGCGAGGGCCTGAGGCCCTTTTGGTGGGATCCAAGCAGATCTGAGATACAGGCCGGTGGGCCCAGGCTCCCAGGGTCCAGCTGAGGGGTATGTGGTAGGAGTCTGGGAACTCACACCAGATTGCATCTGGCTGCCATTTTATGTCACTGTTAACCTCTCTGGGTGGCAATAGAAAACAGATCAAAGAACGAATTAAAATATTGTTCTGTACAACACTAATAACAACACTTACAAAGAAAACTGGCTTGAAATTCTACTTAAAAGTGGCTAAATTTCACTGGAACTGAGATCTAGAGCCTGTGAGGCTCCAAAAGGTCCTTAGACAACACACTGAAGGGCCGAACCTCCCTCATTTGTGGCTAAAGCTCTGAAGGTCAGGGTCCTGTGTTCAGAGTCTATTTAGATTTAAAACATCACAAGTAATGTATTATTAATGTTTATAAAGGGGGAAAAACGCTCATTTCACCTGCAAATTTCTGTCAATGCACCAGTTAGTTTCAAAATCATCATCGTCTTCTCCAAAAGGGTTGATAAGCTGCTCAGCTACCTGTAGTGGAGAACACAGAACGAGTCAGCTGTGATGTTTGTGAAGGCTAAGAATGACGGTTGAAGGTGATTCCTCTTTCACTCTGTTTTCTTTTGTCACTTTCATAATATGAAGCCTAGAGAGGGGTGGTTGTTCAGTAGACACAGATACATGTATTTATCAGCAAATGAGACTCGACTCTCAGACCACAAACGATGCATCTGCAAGGCAGGCTCTCCAAGGGATCTGTCTGTTTAGATGGTGACAATGCAGGCCCTTTGCAAGGGCCGGTTTTGGGGTCAGATAATTGATTTCCAAGCACAAATCAAACCAGCGACTACTGAAGGAGCACAGACAGTGTGCGAGGCACTCACGAGGCGCGTTCAGGGGCGCAGTCTGTGCTCTTAAGGAATTTACAACGGCCAGGTGACAAGACAAAATGTATATGTGGGAAAGGTTGAAACAGCAAAGAAAGATTTAAGTCACAATTAAAGAAAATAATACAAGGAGGTTTCATAGTTATTGGACATAACTGTTCAATGAATGAGTCAAAGAGGCAGTAAGTCATAAAGCTGGAATTTGGCTGTCTTAGTTTTACCCTAAAGGATTTACTGTTGTCTAGCACTTAGTCTTTGTACTGGGAAAAGTTTAGGTAGCTTCTTACCATATTCCTTCTAAGAGTTGGACAATATTATATGTGCTTACCATGCTTCTAATTGAATAATCTTCTTGAGAGATTTATATGCCAAATATGACTCACCTGATATTCTCATTTTTGAGGACTTCCCTTTGATTTTTTACTATCTGGGTGTGTGGGTGTGTGATTTTTCATTGGGCCTAGATGGGGAAAACTTACAAGTGTATAAAATAAAGGCACCATTGATTAGTAGTTTCTAGATTCTGAGACTCTTTGGTAGAAAATCTACCTACTTGTTTTTTAGCATTTAAATCTAACCACTTACAGCAGTCGCTATCAACCTTGGCTGAACACCAAACTCACCTGTGGAGCTTTTAAAATAAGTGATGCCTGGGCCCCTCCCCCAGAAATTCTGATTGCATGGGTGTGAGGCTCAACCCAGACATCAGCGCCCGGTAAAGGCCCCAGGAGATTTTACCTGTGGCCAGGGCTGAGAATCCCCGCCTCCCTTAGTCTGAGGGGCAGCCCTGGGCCGGGCCTGAATCAGCCAGCCTCACACAGCATGCACACCAAAGCTCTTCACTGCAAGTCCCAAGGGGCTCCCTACCCTTTCTTGCCTGGGGTTTTCCTTAAATTACATGGGCCACTGGGTCGGTCTTGAAAATATTGTTATATCCAAAATTTCACTTTATGGGATCAGTCTTGCATATAGATGTAGAGTCTACAATTAACTACCAAAATGATATCTATGTCTCTGAATAAACTATCTCACGAAAACATTTTTTTTCTTTCTTGGAGGCTCCATGTCTAGGAAAGAACTGAATCTTATACTGTTCATAAGGTTAGATGGATTTTCTACACTTTGAAAAGAGTTGTAAATATTAGAATGGTCAAGATAAAACAGCTGTTCAGAAGCTGAGTACAGTCTATGGTGAAAAAATTCACTTCTCTTAAAGTTGCCAGCCTCCTAATGGAGCTAGGATTGTCTTCTCATATTTTTTCTTTAAAAATCTTTTATAAAAGAAAAGGACATTATTTTAGAGAGCATGTCAGAAGGCAGGAACTAACCGTTCACTGTATGGTGCCCGAACGCCTCACATAGACACAAAGCAATGGCTGAAAAGCTCAGCACAGCTCAGGGGGAAGAACAATAAAGGACGAGAGTGATCAAGCATTTGGGCCAATTTTGGTGATTTTTCTGTTTATAAAAATAGAATCTACTTTTTGTCTAATGGGAAATGAGAGTGATAGTCTCCCTTGCTCTTTCTCTGTCCTAATTGAGTAAAAAATAAGTAAGAATTATTGTCATCTGGTTAAAAATGTTTTGGCTATTTGTAAGGGATATACCTTTACTCTTGGAAGTACCATTTGAAATGCCAATATAAATTATTTTTTCTGGTTAAGATTTAATCCAATGAAAGTAAAGGACCTGCAGGGAAAATGCTGGTGCCCCCTGGAGGCCCATGATGGTGCGCTCCAACCTGCGGCTGCTTGGAAGGTCAAACATTTGGAAATTCCATGTCATTAACGACACCTTCAAGCTGTCATTAGATTTCAATTAGTCTAATGTAGCCACACTCCTCAATATTTTTTCATCACATAGTGTACTTCTCTTTTTGAAGTTCCCAAAAGAGATGAAAGAGTGAGACCTCTGATATTTACGCAAATATCTAAGGGAGATGTGCGAGGAGGTGGTGGTGGGAACAAATAAAATTTCACACTGATGATTGGACAAGTTGTCCTCACTGTTCTAACCTGTTTTTTAATTTACTGGCAAGCCAGATGTTGTCATTAGTTCTGGTGTTTCTAGTTTTGGTTTCAATGCATTCTTTTCTTTTTTTAAACATTTAATTAATTTATTTTTGGAGAGAGGGGAAGGGAGGGAGAAAGAGAGGGAGAGAAACATCAGGGACCAAACCCCGCAACCCAGGCATGAGCCCCGACCAGGAACTGAACCAGTGACCCCTCGCCTTGCAAGATGACACCCAACCAACTGAGCCACACCAGCCAGGGCTTGATGAATTCTTTTCTGAGTCTCAGTTCTGGTTTTGAAAATGGGAAGCATTTAGTGTTGTGGAACAGCTAGTGGGATTTCACGGAATTGCAGTGAACTATTTACAGAGTCGAGAAGAACCAAGATAATAATATAATATTAATGCTTAAGTCTAATATACAAGACTTCTTATTTACTCTCTTTTACTGCCTAGTTGCTTATTGTGGTATAAACTATCAATGCAGGTACAGTTATTACTTTACTTATATTATTGTAATCCTAATGGGAGCACACAAAGACTTCAAAAAATCAATAGCCATAAAAGAGTCTTCTTATCTCTTTGCATAAATGAGCTGCTACAGTTGCTGCAAAACGGTACTCACGCACATCCCTGACACTTGAATCTCTGGCTGAAAAGTAATAACATCTCTGAGCTATTAAATATTAAATCTACCTATGACTCACTCAGGAATCATTTGCTAGACTCAGTGAAGTATCAGCGTGCAGAGTTTGGAACATGAGAGAGATTACAGACGGGGGTCTTATGACACTGGGGCTGGTGGTTACCTTGAGCCATCCTGCATAGAAGAAGAACTGTAGAAGAGTAAAGATTGGAATGTAAAGATCTAAATCATGCCCCGCGTAGCCTACGGTGGGATCCAAAAACTGGCGTCCAATCAGGCACGCAAAGAAGAAGGTATAGACGGCCAGGGTGACGACCTGGAACAGAGAGAAATCCAAGTGAGAGCATGGCTCTGGCCACCCCAGCAAGTGCCACAGTGGGCACGCAGAAACAAAAGTCACGTGCACAGCACTTGATACCTGGGTGTAAACCAGCGGGATCCCGACCCAGTCGTAACCGAATAAGAGACTGCACCAAGATCGGTATCGGTTCATTTCCTAAGCCAGAAACAGATAAAACATGATTTACTAAAGTGACGGGTGTGGTAGGATTAGGAATGTGGCCATGTCTTCTACCACTATGTCTGTAAAATGATGGGACTTCCTTTGCAAGGCTAATAAATTGGTTCTGAAGGCCACCCCCAAAGGAAAATTCTGAAAATAGCAAGCAAAGAGTATCATTCAAAAATGCACAAAAAGAAGTACATTTGAATATATACTAATAGTAAGATAAATTAAGACTTTAGAGAAGTGTCTCCTGCCCTACTGAATCCGTAATTTCCAACATGACATTGGTCTGAAGTGGTGATGGGAAGGCAGTGGTTAATATTTTAAATAAGTCATCGCCAGCCATTTTGGTAAAATATGTGGATAGCCAATATTTTTGTTGTTTCTCTCCTTTGAAAACATGCTTACTAGAGATCTTAGAAAAAAGAAATAAATCCATCCTAACCCTCAACCCCCACAAATGAGATGCTTATATTGACAGAAAATCTATCTTTCTTTGGAGCAGGAAGGACTGGCTGGAATCCATTGATTTCTTTTCCCCCACTATTGCACATAAGTTATTATTTGAGACTGGGAGGGAGAGTTCACATTCATTTGGGAGCTATTTTAAAATCATTCATTTCTCTTAGCTTAATCCAGGCAGGAGACTACCTTGGCACAAACCTCTTTAGTCTTTACATTAATTTGTTTCTCAGATGAACTTAGGGTTATTTTGTTGAATGAAACACATTTTTGTTTCCTGGAGCATCTGAAAAGCTGGCTTAACCTTGAAATATACCAGTTTGAGGAAGTGACTGGGATGGTCCTGGAGCCAGGGATGCATCAGATCCTGCAGAGCCCTTGGCAGACATGGCCAGTCAATTAAGGGACATTTTCTTACAGAGCATATCACAAGCCTAATTCCGTTTAACACAGTTTCCAAGCAACCGTTGTCAATCGGTCTGAGATAGAACCTGTGTGCTTTCCTTGTCCTGCACGTTGAGGGCTCTGAATTAAACAAAACGCGTTCATCCGGGTCCAACTGACACATCCAGGTCTCTCTTGGTCTCTGATTAGCATTTCTTTTTGCAATTTACAATGTACTTACAGTCATCAATGATTGCAGATCAACACTGTCTCTGATTCTACCTTCCTTCCGGGCTTTAGCGGCGAGATTTCCAAACCAGATGAATGGAACCCAGTATTTCAGGTGAGGAGATTTGAGGTGGTCAAATAATTTTCTTTCATCTGCTGTCATAAAACCTTTACACAAAATAAAAATAGCTGGATTATACAGATTTAGATACACTCCAAAAATCCAAAAGGGCCAAAGGAATATTAATGGGGACAGGGAGTCTCACTTTATGAGCCACACAGTTTCCCCTCTCTGAAGGAAATCACTGCAGCTGGTTTGTTGTGTATCTTTCCAGAGAAATATCACAAATTTCACACGGGCCTAATTTTTAAAAACACAAATGGCTTCATACTACATACATATCTATCATTTACTTCTATTTTCAGTTATATCTAGGAGATATTATTTGTTACTATATAGAGAGCAGTATCATTCTTTTTAATGGTTGCCTCCTAGTTAATTATATACAACATTTATTTTATAGTCCCCTTTTGAATAGACATTTAAGTTGTTTAAAATTTTTTGTTATTAAAAATAATGCTGCCATGATGATCCTTGTACTTATGCCTATGACTTTTTAAGTGGACTTTTAAATGTTCATTTTGATTTAGTATAAATAATATTTTCTGAATTAAAGTTTATTTCTAAAACCAATCTCTTGTAAGATAATAACTTTGAGTTGCTTTTGTCTCCGCAATGCAATTATTTTTTTATGACATTCTGATAACACATTTAGATAAAAATCTACTTTTGCCCTAGTGTAACATATTCTTTATCCTTAAGCATTTCAATCAGCTTATGAATCTGGCCACCCTGTTAAAAGACTGAATTTTACTTAAGAGGTGTTGCTATAGCACAAAGAAGTCAAAGGAGAAGTGAGACTTGCTCATTTGCAGAGTCACCAATTCATAGAGGTATGGACTTACCTAGATTCTTGATATGACCTAAGCCAGTGTGTTTGAGAATAAGGCCCACGGATCAGGGGCATGGGAATCATGTGTGACACCTTATACCTGGAGGGTTGGGCCCCACCCTCACCTGCTAAGTCACTCAATAGGGCAGGACGTCTGGACCTAGGCCTGTGCCTTACGGTCTCATGCAGATACTGTTAGAAAATACCAATGCATTGGCCTTATCCCCAGAGACTGATTCAACTGATCTAGAGTGAGGTCCAGGCACCCGCAAGTCTTTTCAATTTTTGGTGACTTAATGGAACTGGGTTCAGGTAGCTGCATGTTTACCAAGCTTTGCAGGAAATTCTGACTTACAGCAATGTTTGAAAATCGCTGCTTCACTCACTGTTTATTCATACTTAAAATAAACAGTACCAACTACAAAGCCAGTATGTACCAACAGGAAACTAGTTTTAGGTATTAGTCATGTTATTAATGTTAGCTTAGAAGGGTTCTGTCCATACCTGGGGAATTAGACTCTCTTTGGAGGTCAGAAATAAAAATATGCCTGATAGTCCTCTTCTTGTTTCTCAGTGCATCTCAAAGTTGTTGCATGTGCCAGATAATTGTTTTTTTAAAGACTTGCAGAGTGTGATTAATTCTTACTATAGGAAGTTAATAGATATACTTGACCTGTCTTGGCTCTTAGCTTGAAGACTTGTTGCAGCACAACATCCTTTACCTGGAAACTATGCTCAGACATTTTATGTCAATTATGCAACAGTTATATTCTTGGGATTATAGTGTAATTTTCAAAAATAACCCCATTTATATACTGGCTGCAATCTTTACCTCTGGTTACTTTTTACTCAGGAGTATGGATGATATTGTGCTGGCAAGACCTCTCTTGGCTTTTTAGCCTAAAGCAGATATGAAGAGCAAGGGTTTTTAGTGCAAACGCCAAAGCTAGAGTTAGGTCCTTCCCACTAAGTAGCACGCTCACCACGGATTAGAAGGGTGCCGAGCAAGGAAAGCTGGTGGTTTTTAATTTTATCCCAAATTTATTGAGTCCTTTGCTGTGAAAGATGAATGATTAACCAGACATTAATATATCCTCCAAGAGTATACAGACGTAATGATTTTTGTTATTTCCTGCAGGGTCACACATCTTATCCAAAGTAACCCTATCTGTGGAAATTGAGTTTTTGATTGATTGAAAGAAAATCTCTAGATTGTTGCTCCAATCAATTCAAAGAGCATTTGCTATCAAAGGAAATGTTATCCTCATCAGCACTTCAGACCATTTTAACCAGAGACCGATGATCTTTTTCAGAATGTGGTCATTATCCTCATCTCTAAGGCTATGTTAACCACAGGTATTGATTTGCTACGGTTTGGCAGCACTCACTTGGCTGGTCCTCACACTACCCTGCCTCCTTCACATGCCTGCCTTCACACCACGCTCCCTCAGGCCCTATCCACACCCTGGCATTGCTGTTTTCTCTTTCCACTGCACCTGACTAGAGCTTCTCTTGCTAAACTTTCCTTCCAGCTTTCTGGCTGGTTCAGCTCGGCTCAGCAATTTTCCTACTGCTTATCCCAAAGAATCTTCCTTAATATTTCAAATCAGCAGAAATAAAAATATAGGCACACACATACATATATATGTCTGTGTTTATTTGCAACTTGAATTGTGGTTTGATGGAGTAGGATCTTCCACTTCAAGTCAAAATTTTATTGTCCTCAAGCCAAAGGGCCAATTAAATCCATTGATAAACAATATTCCGGTTATCATAGATTTTGTCTGTACAGTTGATTTATTTTTCCTCGGTTGAAGCCGAGGCAGATGTCTTTTGCCTTTAAAGCAGAGTGTGCAAATGAGCCTCTGTTACCAGAAGAGCTAAAAGCTCCGCATCTCAAAACTTGAAGGTGGAATGGGTTTGCTGCCAGTTCTTTCCGAAAGAGAAAGTTGTGCATTCAGCAGCTGAGCCCTTCCCAGAGACAGGACTTTCTCAGGAATATTGCAAGGTGCCTGGCTCATTTTCATCTTTGCGTTTTCCAAATGAATGGAATGAAGCCACCAGATTCAACTACAGCTGCCCTTTACGTTCAGTATTAGAGGTTTGGACATCCCTGCCAAGTGGAAAAATCAAGAGGAAGCAAGATGAGATTGAGGGAGAGATGGAACCACATGATGAGGGCATTGCATAGGGCTGTACCTCAGGCACTTTTTACTGTGAACCACAGTAAGATATGCGTGGCTCACCAAGCGATGATTGGCTCCCCTTCACAATGTTCTCTCTGATGTTTTCCGTTCCATTCCATTCCATGAACTATGCTGGTTGTAAACCATTAAAATGATTTAAAAACCCAATAATAAGTTACAACTCAGAGTTTGAAAAGCTCAAAATAGGATATGGGTGAGTAAAAGCAGATTCTGGAGTAGCAATGCTGAACAAAGACAGAGAAACTGCTCTGTTTTCCTGATATGAGCAAAATATCTCTAGTCAGCCATACTCCGACCCCTAGATTAGTATCCTATTTGGTAATTCACTGTCTTATTCACACGACACACAGGAAATACCACACACCTGCCCAGCTGGCCAAGAACTTCATTTGCCCTCAGTAAATAGATCTGAAGCCATTTGCAGATAAAGTTGAGGAGTTAACAGACACACCCTAGAGCAGTGGATCCTAAGCTTTGCTGCATGTGAGAATGGTCTGGGGAGCTTTAAAAACTGCTGATGCACCCTATTTCTATTGAAGCTAATGTCTGGGAATGAGAGCCAGACATCAGTATTTTTAAAAGGTCTCTAGTGATTCCAATTTGCAACATAGTTTGGGAACAACTACCCTGTGTGAAGAATCATTCCACAAGCAGGCCATTTCAGCTTTTTTGTCTGGGTCAAACATCCTGCAATGCTGCTGGCGAGTTTGTTTAAAATATGGATTCCCAGGTCTTAAGCCCCAGAGATTCTGATCTGTAGGTTGCCTGGGAACCTGCAATTGAAATAAGTACCTCAGATAATTCAACGAATATAGTCTGCGATCACACCTTGAGAAACATTGAGAGGATAGCCTTGACTCAACTCCTAAAACAGAACTGTGCGGAGCCTTCCAACACTGAGCAGCTGAGACGGCCCGTGCGCGGCCGTCATTCGGGGAGGGCTGGTTCCACTGTGCATTTTCTCTCCTGTGCAGTACAAGTGCGCATAGGTGAGTCAAGTTTCACTCACAGGATGATGATTTGTCTGTTTTGGGCTCATCAAGTGAGACTATAGGGAAACTGACTCAGCCTGTAAAAGTTCAGCCAATGGAGGAAAAACTGGCCCACCTGTGAATACCACTGTTCCCTTCATCATCTCTCCTGTGACACAGAGCAGGGAGGTTTCAAAGAGCTCAAGATGCCCCAGAGCCATGCGACGCGCCAGGAAAAACTTGAGCAGGAGACCACAGGGTGGAAAGTCAATATTAAACAAAATCCATTTGATTTTACTTAGTGAGAGAAGGTCACAGGTTAAATGATCTAAATATGCCAGAATCTCGAATGGGGCTAGTCTTCCAGCCAGTGCATCTGAAGTTAGAATTTTTATCTCAGTAGCCACTTGACCATTGGAAGCTTGCTTTGTTGTATTAATGTTTGTTAATGATAAGCATTGATAAATATTCTCATCACTCTCATCAAGCTCTTTCTAGTCATACAAGAAACTCAAGGAACTTGACGTTAAGATTTCAGGGCATTAGGAAAAGTAACAAATGCTTTTTCCTCATATTTTACTTTCTTCTAATCATTTTTAAGGGCACAGAAAGAAATTATTTTAAAGAAGTAGAAATGCAGTATAGAGATATGAAATTTGGCTATGACTATATTTGGGCTCATCTCTGAAAATGATTCATGTAAGAAAAGATTTGCAGTAATTTTTATTGATCCTTGTGGACAGGAGCCATATCTGTTCTTGCTTAGAGCTGTGCTCCAGTGCCCAACACAGTGCCTGGCATATAGTGTACACTCAATAAATCTTTGCTGAATGAGCAAAGGCATGGCAGATTTAGCAACAGCTTTCGTAATTTTTTTAGAGGAGTGCATATAATTTCCCATTGTCTGTCTTTGTGGTCTGGTGAGTAAGTTTTGAAGAGAAATCTTCCCTTCTCTTGTTCACTGTGAAACACTAGATAAAACATTTCAATTCAGTGTCATGCTATAATGTAAGCACCTGATTAAGGCCATACTTGAATCAGCAAAGATCTGGAATTGTGCACATGACTTGACTTGGATGAGTGACATCTTCCAAGGCAGGTGATTGGAATTATTAGATTTTTCCAGGGCAGGTTTGTAGCCAATAGGCAAAATAATGGAGACTCTATTGCCTTTCCTCTGGTAAATAACTGTTCGACAACAGACCAGTTCAGGGGATTTTCAGCATAATAGACATTATTTAACATTCAATTGTTATATTTCTACTTCCCTGTGAGCAGAAATGAAAAACCTTTATTTTTAAATTGAGAAATTTTGCCTGTAACATCAAAGCATAAGTATTCCCCCAGTCATGTGCATTGTGGTCCTTTTAATTTACCAAAATAGTACGACATGACTGGCCAGCTTACAAGCAAAGAAAATTCAGGGGTTAGCAGGTGAGTGACCTTTAGCGCATCGGGCTTTAGTTGGGAGATGGCCAGACCCTTCAGAAGGAGACACTGCTCTTCGTTCTCTCTGCGCTCCCACTCGTTTCCTCCTGGCCTGCCCTGAATCTCTGTGGCCGGGACCCTCCCTGAAGCAAGAAGATGTTGGAGGGAAACCCTGATTACCGTAAAGCCCATTGTTTCTCAGAGTGGGATCCAGGGACCACCTGCCTTAAAGTCTCCCGAAGCTTGTTCTTGGACCTCATTCACCTCGGACCTACTCAACCAGAATCTGAGGTGGTATTTTGGAATCTACATTTTTAGCAATATTGATTTTTAAGAACATCTAATGTACACTGAAGTTTGAGAACAGGTACTTTTTCAGACAGGTGATATTATGTAGGGGAGTCACCTGACAAGAAGTGTTTTCTGTCCCTTACCCTTGTGTCCTGCTTTGCCCTCACCCATTTGGTGCCCCTGTATTTTCCTTCTCCGCCTTCTCTGCCCTCCAGCGGGGCAGGTGTCCTGGCTCTGGGCTCAGGGCATCTGCCAAATATTTTCCGCCATCCCTGGACTTCCTGTTCTTCCCAGAAACGTTGGCACACGCAAAAGACAGTCAGAGAGTGTCGGAGGCATGCGTCCAGCAGGAGGTCATGGAAACTGACCCCACGTGCTGACTGAGTCAGCCTTCTCCATTGGGGAGAGAAGCAAGATGTCGGGTGAGTTGAGGCTGCCCGTGGACAGAGAGGGGCCCACCCACGTGGGGGCCCACCCATGTGGCTGGCCGTGGGCAGCCAGGGAGAACCCCACTTCTGAAGTGGCTCCTCCAGCTTCAAGGGCCACGGCTTGAAACCTTTGATCTGCCGCCTAACACCTGAGCCTGCTCCTGGGGGCACAAGCCCTTCCACTACCCCTTTTCCTGCTGTTGCAAGAAAACACTTAAGAACGAATAGAGAGCAGTAGGGGTCCTCCTTCTGCAATAACCAGTGATGACCCCAGAGGGCGCATGCAAAGGCGTTAGCCCACTTCTATCTCCCTCAGCTCTCTTCCTCCTTCAGCCGCTCTGCACAGAATGATACTTGCGTGTTTCATCAGGGCTAAGGCAAATCCTCTGGACAGGAGTCTCTGAGCAGACTGCTGCCCTAAAGCCGCTCTGTAATTCTGGAGCCTCTAGCATGGCTGAAACCTCGAATTCACTCTTTCTTTTCTTTTTTTAATTTAATTTTTATTTTTAACAATCAGGGTTGAGGGGTAGAGGAGGGCAGAGAGAGGGAGAGAGAGAAACATGGATTTGTTGTTCCACTTATTGATGCATTGATTGGTTGATTCTTGTATGTGCCCTGACTTGGGGGTCAAACCTCCCATCTTGGTGCAGCGAGATGACGCTTTATCCATTGAGCTTCCTGGCCAGCGCCTAATTCACTCTCTGTCTTAACCTTTGCTACTTTATTAATAGAATGAATTACTTGATGGTTGCCAAAACCTTTTTTATCCCAGGGGTGAGAAAAAGGGTTTTCAAAAGTAAGCATCCCAGAAGAGACTCAATACTTCTCAAACGTCAGTGAATAACAAAGCAGCATAGGAGCACATTTAAATACAGGTTTCCTGTGCTTTAAATCCAATGGTTCTGATTCAGTAGGTCTGAGATGGGGCCCGGGAACATCCATTTTAAGTAAACAACTCAAGTTATTCAGGATGTAAAGGGCCTGCGTGTCTGCGGATCACACCGTGAACACCCTCGTTTAAATGCACTTAGAGGAATGAATGACTGATTTCCAGACTCCTTTGGAATGGCTGGGGGTATTTCAATATTCCAATATTCCAACTGCCTTAGAAAGCCAAAACAAGTACATGACAGGCATTTGCACAAATCTGAGAAGGAAAAAGCTTTGTTATGAAGATTACACCTAAAGGAAATGCAATCTTGTCATTCTCCTACCCACCTCTCCCTCTCTACTCGCCCCTCAGCACAGCCCAGGCTTCTTGAGCTAGAAGGCCCCCAAACCTCTCCAACAGCAGCCATCCTGGCTTCCTCCTGATTTGCTTTTAATATGAAGATGACGCTGAGAGGATAAGATTTGTTTTGAGAATTGGGCCTGGTGTCTGGTTCCTGTCAGAATGCACTCTCTTCGTTTCAAGGATGCATCAGGACTAGAGAAATAGCACCTTCATTCTTCCAAGTAAACTTTAGCTCTCACTCATTACTTTGGAATGGGTCTAACCTTTCTCGTTTATTTTTAGGTCTTTCTTCAGTTGTGGTAATTCTTATTGCATTTGATTCCTATAGACATTAGGGTAAGAAAATTAAGTTATCATGTAGCATTTTCAACTTGGTCATTCTGAAGAAGTATTCAACTTTTAAATTTGGAGGAGGTGTGGTAGTTAATTTTTTTAAAGTTCTTCCTGGTTTTACATCATAATACATATACCTGTGCATTCACCAAGCCATTAGTAACGTCCACCTGAATTTTTAACTAACTCATTGCACCCTGTTACTTTCTCACATCTGTAACCCCAACAATACCCTCTGCACCCCTCCTTCTTTATTTCTACCTTGACTTTCCCAACTTTCTGGTCATTTAGTTCAGGAAGACCTGGGATGCCATATAAAATGAACCTTCTAAAGTGACCAAAGGACTATGGCATGCTGTTGTACTAGATGATTTCATTATTACAATCAAGAGCTCATATAACATTTACCATGTGTCAGATTTTTCCCTAAACACTTTGTAAATGTGAACTTATTTAATATTCACAACAAGCCAATGTGGTATATGAAATAGATGGTATTGTAAATTACTAGAAACTTATTTTATGGATGAGGGACCTGAAGCATACAAGGTCATGGAGCTAGGAAGTAAATGGTGGAGTAAGAATTTAAACTCTTTCTCTGTGTCCTTAGTCACTGTCTATATTGTCCATCTAGAAGGCAAAGCCAAACCAAAGAAAAGCCTGGGGGAAAAATCCCTCAAAAAACAACCCCCAAAATACTATTTTTAAAGAAATACTATTTTCAAGGACATTTCAAAGAGAATAGACAGAGCAACCCAATTTGAGAGCATACTCAATATAAAGATGGAATTGTCTCATGATTCTTTTATCTTCTATACATTCATTTCAACAAGCTATTAGATCTATTAACAAGAAGCTAGCACAACCACCCATATTTATTCAGCACATGCTGAGAATTATCTCGTTTAATCCTCATCCCACTGAAGGCTGCTTTAGCTAAGAGCTTCTTCACTAAATATTAACACGCGAAGGAGAATCGTCCTTCCAACACAATTAGTACTCAGCATCGTGCCTCGGAGCCCAGGTGGAATAATTGCATCTACTTTGAGGAACAAGAGAGACCACAGACCCACACTGAAGTAGCCTTTACTGCCACCTCTCAGGGTCTAACGACATAAAAACCCACATCACTGGTTCCTACCAGAATCGCCTTATGTTTTGGGAGAAGTATTGAGGAGTTCTGAGCCTGAATCATAACTGCGCTGTGTGATCCAGGGTAGGTCATAACCTCTCTGAATCTGTTTCTTATTTTTCTCATTTTCTCAAGGTCCAAGGGAAAAAATATTTATGAAAATGAACAAACTGTAAAGGGATAGAAGATATAAGGTAATATTACAGACGGTTTAAATAAATATGATAATAATTATTATATTTACCTACAGGCCATGTGACTGCTGCTTCTCCTCCTCCACCCCCTCAAGGAAGCTTTGTGAGGACAGGAACCATGTCTTACTCATTTTTCCCTCTGAAATCTGTTTCTGGCACATAGTAGGTAACCAATAAATGTTTCTTGAATGAATACATGAATAAAAGGGATTTTCAAAGGAATGAGGAAAGTTCTCATCTAGGTCGAGTGGAGCCCAGGGAAGGAAAGGCCATTCACAATACCTGCTTCCACCACGTGGTCCATTGTTGGAAACCTTTTGTACACAGCTGTGCTCACCGAGCGGAAGATGAGCAGGGATGTGAGATTGACATAGCGCATCAGGGTCCTTCTGAGCAGGCGCCCATGCTCGTCCCTGCCGTGAACACTGCTGGAGATGAGGAACATCAGCCTGTCTGGCCAGGGCAGGTTCACAAACTGGTTCCACCATCGGTTCACTACCAGTGTAACATAAAACCCTGTAGAATAACAGGAAACTATAAAGTAACTTTCTAGAGCAGACATGTCAACACTGATGCTTTTAGCAGACTTTTAGCCTTTTTGGGTTTGGGGTGTAAAAATATGTTTTTTCCCTTCAGAAAAAAAAATGTAATTTGTGCCTGGCAATGCCGCAGCACCCAGTATGCAGCTATTAGAACTCAAATATTGACAGCAAAAATGGAGGGTTAGTGAAGAGAAAGCTTCATTGCCCAGTAGCAGATTATTACCTCAAACTTGTTTGGTGTTAATGTAGCAAAAGCAGCCCTGCAGGCGAACCTTATGGATGACTTCTGTTCTATTGCAAGCGGTGGCTTTGCGGGCATGCCTCGAAGCTTGGACACACTCCCATGCAGAGTCATCGGTGTCATCCTAACGGAGACAGCTGGGTGGCTGCATTCTGCGTGTTACCTATACTTACCAAGCACAAAGGTTACTGGAATTTGTTCAGCATATCTGTCACAGTAAATTGATAATTTTTCAAAGTAACGTTTTTGGGCTCCTGTAAGTAACAATCTGGAGCAAAAATAAAATGCACAGCCCTTTATGATATTATACTTCTGCACCTGCTTTGCAAGTGATATTCAGTGCAAACAATTAAGCACAAATAATTTTTTTAAGGAGCAGCAACTTTTTCTTTTCTACTAAGCTGATGTATCTCAAAAGCTGAATATTTCAAGTACTAACATTTGTAGTACATAAATGTTATTGGCCATTAGACAGATTCATTAAACACTTTATTTTTAAATACTTTATATTTTTAAACTTTTATATGATTAATGCTTTGGATTTGGAGCACATTACCTCATAAAAGAGTTTGTTTTTCAATTATTTATCAGGTGTACTCGAGGGAGAAAAACTGTCTTGATTAAGAGGATTAGAGTTATTAAGTCATTATTAAATAATAGCCCTGAATTTGACATCTTGATCTTACTTTTTCCTGAATATTCTACTCAGCACAGTCTTGATTTTCTGTGTTGTACTTCAAAGGATATTATAACTTTTTTAAAAGACTGCAATTATTTAAAATATAACAGGTTTAACAGTTAGAAGTGGAAATTTTTATTATTATATTTGGGGGTACATATTAATATATTATAAATATTAAAATTTATACTATAGATCTGACCCAAAGCCATTTCACGGTATTATTAAACATACATTCATTTAATAGAACTATTCTTGATATTTATGTTGTATAGGGAGGAGATTCAGGGTCAGAAGGAATATCTCAAGGCAGGTTAATAAAGACGATCAAAATATGGAAAGCAAAGCAACAGGGATGAAATTGCATCAATGAATGAGTGTAGCTGTTCCAAAGAAGAAAGGAATCCCTTGGAAAAATCCATGTTAACATACTTTAAAGGCCTATTGGGATCCGTAGAACTTTGATAAAGGAAGCAGAGGGATAACAAGGTAACAGGGAGCCAACAATCAGGTTGCAGGTGAAGAAATGGGAGCTGGTGCTGACGAAGGGGTGCGGCGCACTGGGTGTGGGGGGGCCTTGGGGCTCTCGCCCCAGCTTTGGAGGAGTTGTCAGAAACTCTGAAGCCAGGAAAAGCAGACAAGGAGGCATCACCTGTGTGCACAGTCCTATCAAGGTCATGTGATGAAAAGTTACAGCCAGAGTGGTTTCCAATACTCAAACAGAAATGGCTGAAGAAGGTTTAATTGTGGAAAGCACAGACCATAGGGCTGGGGAGCTGGGTTTGAACCCCAGATCTGCCACTTACAGATTTGGAATGTGAGCATGTTTCTAAAGTTCTCTGAGCCTCCGTTTTCTCATTTGTAAATGGGGATAATAACATCTATGCGTCAAGGATGTTATGATCATTAAAGAATACATGTTATATAAAACAACATAACATATGGTGTTGTACTTAATAACAATTGGTTAATAATAATTGGTTATTAATAATTGGCCAAAGGAAAAAATATTTGGCCTATAGACACATAGAAATTTTACTAGTTAGAAAGTAAGTAATGGCAATTATGTTGTCAAATCCATTCAAAAAATAGGAAGAGATATAATAACATTAATGAATTCTGGTGCTGTCTTATGATTTTTGTTAAGTATATTTATTTGCTTTTAACAGGACCAAAAAACGTAGGGTCATCAGACATGAGACAGAAACTATGTCTATATTTTTACACATATGTTTGACTTTCTTGACAAATTCAGCCTATAGTTCTTGGTATTCCTTTGATCAAGATATTAGGATCTATTTTAACAAGCTTTTACAGTTGGACTTCAAAAAATGAAGAATGACTTAACTGATGGTTATTGTTATCAGTGAAAGCACTCTTTGGCCTTTAGAAAAAATATATGCATATAATTTTGTGGGGTATAAATAAGATATTGGAGCAAAAGTTAAAGCTCCATGGAGCATTTCTGGCTACAATTGTTCTAAGGGCTATTCTATTCTAAGCAGCAGTAGAAGCAATAAATTCATATTAGTAAAAATAAATTGAGACAATTAACATCATGTGTCTTCCACCATCTTAGTATTCTGAAGGATTAGGTGACACATAAATAAGTTGTCAAAAAGTATTATAAGACAGATCAGAAAAATTATTAGAGGTTTTTAATACAACATTGTATTTAAAGACATTTTGCCAAAATACATACCAATATATACATTCATTTGGAATAGTGGTTTTGATTTAGCTAAATAGACCTTCCTATTCTACTTTTGATAATTATCAGCCAACCAAATTAATATCCCTCTTCCTCAAATGGGGTCCTATTGCTGCAAGGAAGAATGTAGGTGAGAGCAGTGCCATACGAATGTGTTCATCTGTACGCAGAAGGAAATAACAAACTGATGTACATAGAAAAGGTGGAAATACAGCCTCAAAAACCTTCAGCTTTTTTGTTTTAAGTTTTATTTCCTCCCCAGAGAAGACATGTATGCAATCAATTTTAATTTAAAACACTCGTAAAGCTTCTCTTTTGTAATACTGATAGAATGTTATTAAGAATAAAATTTTTAGTCTTGACTGGTGTGGCTTAGTTGGTGGGGCATCATACCGCACAGTGAGAGGGCGCCGGTTCTATTCTCGGTCAGGGTACGGGCCTGGGTTGCGGGCCTGATACCCCATTCAGGCACATGTGAGAGGCAACTGATAGATGTCGCTCTCATACATAGATGCTTCTGTGCCTCTCTTTCTCCCTCCCGTTCCCTCTCTCTAAAAATAAATACATAAATAAAATCTTTTTTTAAAGTATAATTTTGTCATAAAAGTATTTCTTGGACATAAGATTGCTCAAATTTTCTGTCAATCGGACAGGCATAAGTTGTGAAGTTATAAAGGATAAGTATCATCTCCTTTTGTGAATATGACATGCCCCAAACTCAGAAGACATAAAAAAAAATACAGTAGTTTTCAGCCCCTTTCTTTAGTTGAGGTAGCGATAAGGTTGGTGGGCACCATCCTGGATAAGATCTTGTCATTCCAGGCAAAAGGAAGGAAAGTTCCTATATCAGGTGTGTATGCCTGATAGACATTATTCACAACCATGCTAATTACAAAGGTAGTTGCTGCAAGCTCTTAAATAGCAAATTAAAACTATGAGAGACACAGTTGAGAGAGGCACACGTAATTATTCATGTGTAGACTTTGCCATTCAAAATCATTATGTAGCGAGGATCTAAGTATGAATCTTCCATTCTGTGCTTATAGCAACATTCTTGACCCACGACTAACACCTCATCACGATCACTTCCTGTGGGGCTGCAATGAGAACCCCCTGAGCATGGCAGTGAGAATCTATTTAACATCCTAAAAATGGCGGATGTGGATTCAACTACCCAGCCCTGGGGAGAGGGAGGCCACAGAGAGGGTCATGCAAAGGGGGTTACATACGCACAAAGGTCAGCGGCAACCGCAGGGCTCAGATTTCTGAGACTGTATTCTCACTTGATATTTGATGGCCACTTAAGGAGACATGCAAAGGAAAGTACCTGTACACCAAACTTATTGCTGTGTAAAAAACAGCAAAAACAATAAATTCCCTGTACAGTAGTTTGTAGATGCTGCCTCTCCACTTGAGGAGTAACCTATGAAATCCAAAAAAAGTCGCATTGGCAACTTTACTGGAGTAAGTGACAGTCATCTTGGATAGTTTTTTTCTAGAAGAGCAAGAAGACAAAATACAAGTAAGAAGCCATGTTTAAGACCAAGCATAAATCTGTATCTCAAAGGAAACCCACACCAGCAACCAGTCAGCCAGCTCCCCTTTTGTAGCCTTTCTCAGTTCGAACAATTTGGAATTTGGAGGTAACCACCACCTTAGTGCGCAACAGCTTAATAAAAAAAGGAGGAAAAGCATTTCTGGAAAGAGTAATAGAAATTCTAAGCTTGCCTTAATTTCTAAGTAGTATTTTTTAGATTATATAGCCATTGCTCGAAAAATATTTGAATGAATAAGTGAGATGTATGAGATACATTGTAATGTTATCTATCATAGTTTCTTAACCCACAGAAAGATTTTAGGATATTGATATGCTATATTGATTGACATTTTCTAAAGCAGTAGCCAAACTTATTCTTTGGGGCTTTATTTGTTAAAGTATGCAAAGAGATATTTATTTATTTCATGCTTAAACTTCCAAAGGGGAAGTTATGGTTCTCTTCTTTGAAATCAGGAGATACTGTTAGAAATAAACAAGCCCTTTGTGGGGATGTAATTTATGGGTTATTTTTGCTGATTTTAGTTGGATGCGGGTGTCTCTCTAATGGAGCTCCCAGTGCATAGTTAGCACTCTAGGTACTTCAAAAGGTGGACAGAATGCTGGGCTGCAGTGATATTAAGAAAGGTGCTTTCCCATAGAAAAGTGTAGCACAAAATGCTTAGGGAGACTTCATTTTCTGTTCGGAGCTGAAAAAAACGGGGCCGTCCTTTAGGACTCGTTCCACTTGGATCTGTTCCATGGGTGAGGGTAGCATGAGAACTGGGCCCCAAAGCTCAGTTTTCAGTAAGTTCTCTCGAATTCCATTGCTTTTCACCAAGAAATTAAACATTCAGGTTTTGAGAAGAAGGCCCAAAGCTAATCTTTGTTTGTAAATCCTGCTCTCTAACACAGAGCACACACATAAAATGAGACTTCTTTGAAGTCTTGATTTTCTCGAAGGGATCTGTGAGGAGAGTCTTATGAGGCTACATAGACTGAAATTATAAGATTTTAGGTAGCATCATATGAGACACAAGAAATAAATCATACAGCCAACTTCTTGTATAAAGTAGCCCGTAGCTTACATTTTTCTATAAACAAGAAAATGTTCAGCTTTTATTCAGAGCTAAGGAAACAATCCAATTCTAATTTGCCAATTTCCCTAAGAAAACAAAACTCTGGAATTATATGCACAGTATTTTTTTGTAATCACAAACATAAACCTTCACCATAACTAAATTTAATTAAAAAAGAAAGAAACAACTCAGGGCCTTTTGGCACGAGTGAGTGGCATTACGAAAGGATGGGACTCACGCCACAAAACCGGTTTCATATTTCCATCTTTACCTTGTCTATTTGTCTAATGTGAATACAGCCAAAATTGGGAGAGGACCATAATAAATTCAGCCCATTTCATAATTTGTTCTCATCGCAGTTTTAAATAACAGTCCTCAAATAACTTTCTTTCATGGAACAGTTCATCCTTCTCATTAAGCTCTTTCAGAACAACAAAGATCAGATAGAGCAGAGGTCAGAATTCAAAGGCAGATGTATACTCTTTGTGCACTAACCTATTTATTCGATTTGGAGTCTCCGACAGGAAAGAGAATCTTCAGGCTGCCCCTGAACAGGTGCCTCCAGGCCTGTGTGGCACTCTTGGTTTCACCCTTCGCTCATGCACAGTCAGAATTTCTTTCTGTTCTCTGGCCACTGAGAGGACCCAGACAAGGACAGGGGTTAAATGATTTTCCACTTGCGGAGGCCTGTTTATGCCAATTTGCCCACTGATGACAGTTATAGCCGGGAACAAACAGAAGCAGCAGCTGCTGATGAGGCTTTTTTAAAATCTATAATTATAACTCCACCTGCCGTCCCAAGTACCTCTTTGAATGAGAAGTCGGAGGTGACGTGAAGGAGGTTGGGCCGTTTAAGTTTGTTATTTTCATTTTTGACTTTGCCCTGGGATCAAGGAAGAAAGAGCCATTTTTCCTCCTAAAGAGTTCAGAAGAGGCTCCACCAGCCGAAAAAGGGAATCGGGACAGTCTGCGTGTGCTCAAAACACAGGCTAAAGTCTTGTGAAGTGTGAAGCCATAAACTAGGGCAGACAAGAGTATAAACAGGATTTACACTTACTGGAAAGGTATTGAGAATGCTCTTCCATTAAAAACATCAAGCATGCATATTTGAGAGAGACAGAATAGTCTTTTAGAAGAACAGAGAGGATTATTCCTTGCTATGGCTTAGTGTTGTGGGAAATGACTACACACATTCATTACTGTTGTTATCTTTATATGGTCAGCTAGGAAAAAATTTTAATTATTCAAAATGTTTTCTCTTGAATTATGCCTCCATACTTTTCTTCTGGAAAGAGAGAGTTCAAGATGGCATTCTTTAAATAATGAAATAAATAATTTCAGGACCAATTCCTGTGGTTTTCTAACCCTCCGAAGTAACGTGTGCACCAAATACCTTAAGCTTAAATAGAATGACTACAAAAAGCATGCATTTTTGTGGAGAAAGATGTAGAAAAAAATATTTATTCCAAAATTGGGAATATACACGGAAACGTTTTTCTGTGGTACTGTTAAGTTTCATATGCACGAGACTGATTTCTTTATGAAACGAACTATAAGCACCTTTGAGCAAAAGCAGTGGTAGGTGTCTGATTTCTTGCCGCATCCCTTGTTCATAGTTCAGCATGGAGCCCTGTGCATAATGGATATTTAATATGTACTTATTGTTTGATTACCACCTAATCTTCACTATGATACTTCTATTCGTACATTTAGGGGAATTTGTGAACATTTTAAAAGCATATATACAATGCCGCACATTTTATACTTGGGTTGCTGCTAAAAGTGGCAGGATAGACCTGATGTTCCATTTATAAAAGTTTTCAAGACTGATCAATGCTATAAAGTTTTAGTAAATCTAAATTTAAGTACTTATGAAATGGAAACACTGGAGGTTTGTTTCCTTTCTAATTTCCACTCTTGCGTGTTTTACTGGATGCGCAGCAGCCCTGAAAGGTGGCTCGATTCCTGGCAGTTACGGGTGCGTAACTGGCCATCCGACTCCGTGCGGCACTGGGGCTGGTTTCGCTTCGGAACGGCTGACTATGTTCGTCGCTCCCCTCAGGCTGTTTTGAGGAATGACTAATTAATGGTTGAGATAATATTCTAAATTCAAATTAGTCAACAATAATTAGAGTGAACGAACTCCCATTGTTGAGCTCTGAGTCTGGTGGCTATTTTTAACAGGTACCGAAAGATGTCATTTAGAAATTAACTCATTAGTGGGACAAGCCACTCTATCTTTTTTCAAAATACTTAACAAACACCAAATTGCAAAGGTAACTGTTTATATGACTTTTTGAAGAAAACTTTAAAGTCCATTGTTAAAAATAGACATTTTTCCAGATTCTGAAATTTTTATATGGTTTTAAAAAAATAAAGAGTGAAACAACATAGGAAGAACAGAGTGGTACTCTGTCATGCTACCCTAGAAGGTGATAATCATTTGGCATAAAGTTCATATTTATAGACTTTTGTAGAACATATTGTAATTAACAACAAACACTATGATAGACAGGCAACCTCAGGGCTTTATGAAGTAACACAATCAGTCACATTTTCTTTGGACAGCAAGCATCAAGTTATGAGATCCTGACCACTCTGGTTTTCAATGGTCCAAATGAACACATTCGTTTTTGATTCCAGTAAACTTCCAGTGACAGGGAAATTCATAAAAAAGAAAAACTGATCACTTCTAAGTGATGGGAATACTGACATTTAATCCATAGATGTCAAGATAAATCACCCTTGTTCCTTAAGGGAACAGAAAACACCAAGTGTAAGTAGCCACTAACCACCACTTCCGAAAGGAGATCTTGTTATTTTAAAAGCCCACATTCACTTTAAGCTGATCTACTTATTTCATTGATGAGAGAAATTGTTTGCCAAATTTCTCTTGAGGTCTTGGTTGTACATAGTCATGTGTATGTCGAACTTTGCATTCAAATATTAACCAAGGACCAGAAATTGTTGTATTTTGGAGGATTTGACTCTGACTTCTGGACGTTATTAAGTGGGGACTTTGGGATATTATTAAATGGGGAATAAAGAATCATTAACATTTTGAACAGGAAAAGGGCTTGATAAAGATCTGTGTTGCAGAAAGGTGAGTCTGTGAGAACGGTGACTGTTGGATTTGAGTAGGCAGGAACTATTAGCAAGGGAATCAGTTTGGAGGTTATTGGGGTTGTTCCAGTATGAACGGGGTGGCGGGCGGTGAGTGGAATGCAGAGGCAGGATGGTGAGAGGGAGCCCAGGGGAAAACTACCCCTGGAGGGTGGAGGAGAAGGAACGGGAGGAGGAGGAGGAAGAAAGAGAAGTCGGATATAACCTCTGCTTTGTCCTTGGAGCCCATTTGCTGATGAAGAACAAAAAGTACAGAATATGATTTCAAATTTGTTCAGGTGACACAGTTCTTTGCAAGGTGTCATTTTATTTGATCTTGCGAAAAGGAACATTTCATCAGCAAAAAAAGGACACAAAGTAAAATCACAAGTAGGAGCTCATGTATCCCCCAAATCAAGGTGTCGAACTAGTTGTTGAACTATGTATGATGAGCTGATCCTCAGTTTTTTTGTTGATAATTGTTTCTGGAACTTATTCATTTTGCTGTGTGCTGGATCTCTCTCTCTCAAAAAAAAAAAAAAAAAAAATGACAGTAGTCAGTGCCGAAGTTTCAAGAAAAACTCGTAAACTTTCAATTGAAAGCATTGATTCTTTCTCCCCACTGCCACCCTCACAGCAAAATATCTTGGTTCAGTTGGTTTGAGAACCACTCACAGTGATATTTTTTCCTTACAGATAAATTTTTATTGGCTCGGTGGGACTGTAAGTTTCTTGAGAATGCATACCTTACTCTTTGTTCATTTTTCCTCTTTACTGGTTGCCTTGATGGATCAGTACCTGCATAACTGGCAGCTGATTGGAATAAGTCATGTGTCCGTCCAGATGTGTGGCAGTGTCTGTTACATGTGGCAGATAGAACTCTGCCAAAAATCAAATGAAACAATGGGAAACCTCCTCAATTAATTTTTTCTCTTTGATTTCAGAGGAGAAATAGCGAACTCCTAGGACTAGAAAGATGATTGAATTTCATTACAGCTGAAGCTCTAAACTCAAAAGAAACTGGATATTTGAAAAGTCATCACTACTTTCCTTATGTAGAGTGACTGCCAACTCAACAAAACAGAAATGCATTAGTTCAAATTTTGAAGGTTATCTTTTTTTAATGGAAGGTACAGAAACTTCATACTATTTTAGGATGAAAGCTTATAGGGCAGAGAATTATTACTATGGTGCTTAAATTGTACTCTGTACTTTATAATCAATAATGCTTCTCAAGTAGATGGTACTGTTTAGCTTACACACATTCCAGATTGCTAAAAAAATGCAACATAGAACCAATTAAAAAATCAGTTTAATTTCACATGAAAAGGCATGCAAATCTAAGTATATTGTTTATTCCAAACAGCTGTGAAATTCTGCTACTTCACCACCATCGTGGTGGAAGGTAGCCATTCTGCAAATGACATTACTGTATGGGTAAAAGGAAGATACAAGTATATTAAAAAAAATGTATACATAAATACTTGGACAATTCTAAAACACTTTTCCATGTGGTAAGATGTATGTGAAAATGAAAAAAACAATGGTTGGTTTGGATTCTCAAATATAGTCATTGAGTACTCTGAATTTTTTAGTTTCTTAATGCATAATAACTCAATAGTGATTACTGTTGGGAAGAGTAGTGAGTTTGGAGTAAGAAAGTGAAGGAGAAACTTTAGTTTTATTCCACATTAATTTTGTATTTTTAAAATAACACCTATATTTTCATATTAATCATGTGCTATAAAAATCTCATTTGATGCCACTTCCAAATTTAGTCCTTCAGCCTGGAAAATTTACCTGAATCCAGACTTAACACTTGAATTTCCCTCCAACATCTCAAACCCAACATGCCTAAAACTGGGCTCCTGATTTTCTCCCTGAAACATGCTCTTCCTGCAATCTTCCATCTCGGTGGAACATTCCTTCCTTCCAAAAGGCCAAAAACTTTGGGATCAGCCTCAGCTCCTCTCTTTCGCCCACACCACAGTCCACTCTTTCAGCAAATCCTGCAGGCCCCACCTTCAATATGTCCTCTGAATCTGTCCTCTGAATCTGTCCCCCGACTCTCATCTCACTCTCGTCCCCGCCGCTCCCAGCTCGTCAGAGGCCTCGTCCTCCCTCTGCCGGCCGCTCTCCCCACTTCCCCGCCTGCTCCCTCCAGTCTGTTCAGACAGAAAGGCTGAGAGATCTTATTAAAGGTAAGTCAGGTGAGTTATGCTGACTCCTCTGCTCAAAAGCCCTCAACGGCTCTCAACCTCTCTCGGGGTAAAAGCCTCTATCTTTACACGGTCTGCAAAGTCTTTCATGACTTGTTCTCATTTCATCTCTAGTCTCATTTTCCACTCCTCTCACCTAAACTATGGACCCCTCTGCAGCCACCCTTGTCTGCTTTCCTTCCTAGAACCTATCATCTTAAAGCCTTAAGAATGGCTAGTCTTCCTGCCCGGAATGCTTTTTCTCCAGGTCTCCAAGGGCGGTCTCCCTCAACGCTTTCATATCTTGCTCAAATATCTTCTCAATGAACTGATCACCCTACTTAAAATTGCT